TTGCGGGTTTTGGCTAAAGGAATGTAGGTCAAAGCTAAAGGATTGTGGGTTTTGGCTAAACGAATGTAGGTCAAGGCTAAAGGAATGTGGGTTAACGAATGTAGGTCAAGGCTAAAGGAATGTGGGTTTTGGCTAAAGGATTGTGGGTTTTGGCTAAAGGATTGCGGGTCGAGGCTAAAGGATTGCGGGTTTTGGCTAAAGCTTGATGGGAAAAGGTGTAGAAACGATTTCATCATTACGGTCTCATGATGAAATCGTTTCTAGTAATCTCTTTCATTTTATTTTATTTTCCCATGGCAATTTTATTCCCAAGTAGTGATATATAATGAGATATATTGGCATAAATGCGGATACAAAGGAGTTAATATTTAAAATGTCAGTCTACAAACAGAGCATTCGTAACAGTTGAAGTCGGTTAACAAATAACAAACAAATAACAAATAGCTGCAATATGTTAGGTTTAATTTTAGTAACTGAAAAAAAATGATTAAAACAGCATATTTTTCCTTCGTTTTTCAACGGTCCACGCTGTGGAGAACGTTCTGTGTACTGCATTTGAACGGCAGTGAATATTTATCCAATTGGCAACAAGAATGAAAACTTTAATGGAAATATACAATGCTGCCTCCATAAGATTAACTGTTTGAAGGAAAGTAGAGCCAGTCTATTCCGAACTTAACTGTCGAACTCAGGAGTTTGGTGTTGTTAACTCGTCGCTTTTCAGCTCGAATATCTTGTTTGTATATCAAATTATCCTGCAGAATTACAAGGATGCACGTTTTATTGGACGGTAAGAGGGAGTTTGACTTAATCTGGTGAATACTTTTCTGGTGTCATTGAACAGTCTAGCATGCATTTCAGGCCTTCTTTATTTGATTTGGTTGGTTTATTTTAGTGTTGAACGGGAACATCATTGATACAGCTGATCACGTGAGGATCTTGATTTTGCATCAATAAAGCTCGAGGTGAATGAATCGAATCCAGTCACATGTTATTTCATGACTCGCTTTTGTTAAACACACTGTGGGAATCTAGGTCACATAGGTTCCTATATTAGATTAGCCATGAGTTCGGAAGGGACAGATAAATGTTCATCCAGAGAATGTGAGACTTCTTTGCAAAATATGCCCACAATGGATTTTGACAAATATCTACTTACCGCCTATTCGGACAGCCCCATTAATAAAGACCGAAAACGCATAGAAATTCCTATTTATTTTGGCGTTCCAATGATTATTTTACGGGAGAAACATGAAAATGAGTTGGCTCAGGGGAAAAGTTTTATCGAACTTGAACCACCTCCCAGAAATGTTATTGAAGCACTAACTGATCGGCTCTTGATGAACTGTTTTACTGTGGAAGATATTCAAGTGGTGCTGTCCAGGATAAAGCCTGTGGTGATATTTCACATCATTTTAGAATTGTTACGACGAATCCCCGAACCGTTGATTCCATTGTCAGCTAAAGCTGCGCAGGTTGCCAGTCGAGTGCTTTTGTTGGAACCATTACACCCCTATGATTTTACCATCAGCGATGAACTGTATCGGGAAATTTTACGCTATCATGCAGAACAAGGAGAGGAAAATACTAGCCGATTTAAACGAAACAAGCATAAGCACGACGACACTATTCAGCCGCTCATACAGAAATATTATCACTGCATGTCAATCAGTCGGTATAAACTGACCAAAATGTACAATAAATTCAACAAGTGCATCTATCATGATCTGCACACAATCGGATCTACGTTACAAAGAAATTTGGCCAGATTTATTATTCGAAATGTGCTATACCTGGCCCGACGATATACCATCTCTTATTTTCGGCGTTTGTGTCAACAGCGCGGAGAAAGTTGGCCTGTCGGTCGAATCACTACCCAACAGCACATTGTTCAGTACGCCTACACCAGACTAGCTGATGCAGTTGGCCCAGTGTTGATCAGTCAGCCGGGAACACCTGAATACTATCCGGATGTGGAGAAACGTGCCATGTTGAACATTTTGTCTTGTGGTATGGATCGAATGTGGTTAACCGGGCAGAAACCACCAGATATTATTGTGAACATGGAACCATCTTATTGTCATGCGAATTGTGTGTGTGGACGTGGGCTGAATGTGATTAGCGCAAAAAATGAAACCTGATGCACAGGTTGCAGCGAATTTCTGAACAATTAACTGGATAAAATCAGCTGACATTGACTGATGTCATTAAGCAATTGTACTTATGAACACCCAATGCAATTGGTGAACCAATGAGAAGTTTTGACTACTTCTGAAAAGATAAAGACTTTTTAATCGACCAGAGAGAAATGTAAATCAGTTCGGGATATCTGTGTTCTGGTTTGTATTTGTTTTGACACATCTTGCTCAGAACGCATGATTTATTGTCCGAAATTATTATTGTAATCAAAGTTCATGACACCCGATATGTTCCTCAGTAAGTATAAGTCAAGTTCACTTAATGATCATCATTTCGGATATGCTTATTTAATACAATTTTACGTCTCAGTTTCATTTTGTAGCTGTTCCCATTTCACTTCAGGAGCTTTCGTGGACAGGACTGAGACCACTAGGCATGATCAGCAATTGTTTGTTTGATATTTTATACATTTCTGTGGTCTAAAAGCAAATAAAATCAAACCTCACTAATGCTGACAGCTGGACTATACTTTTAAAGCCATGATTTTTCAACTCCAGTTAAAAGCGGCGTCACCCCCACGGAATCCGAAATCTTCCAACCCCACTGTGTGATTGTTGATTTGGCAATCACGCACCATCTATTGGACGAGGTAAATCACAATGTTTGGCTATCCAGAATGAACTGACCGCACCACAAACGAACAAAGGTGCTTTGTGAGGTGATGAACAAGAGAGAAGGTTTCACTGTGCTAGTGTTTTGACTGTTCGTTACCCGGAAAGTTTTACTCTTGACCGTTGATCAGGTAATGTTCAGAAGAAGATGAACGAACCCGGTGATGTATAACCTCATTTGGTCGGGCAAAAAAGCAGTTCACAGTGAAGTGATTCGCTAGACCCATTATGATGATCTGGTATGAATATGATTAGGATCCTTTGCATGAATGAGATCCCTCTATATACCATGATTAACCGAGTGAGCGGAGTACGATCGAGGACAAAGTCCTCTGGAGTATTCTCGTTTATTTGAACTCAAATGCAACTGTCTTCATCCCCTGGGGCATTGAAAATCACAGATGAAAATGACTCACCCATTACTTTCGAATATATTGAGAAAGAGATAGTAATATTTCATCTGAACAATATAACTAATCCTAAAACCTTTTATTTCACATCAATTTCAGTCTGACGATTCAGGTTGCTGTCTTTTGGCTGCTCATAGGACCCAACAATGATGAGGGATGAAATGGACGAAATGAAAGACCGAGAGAAGTACCTATTTGACGATAGAGCACGAGAATTTGCGAAGAAACTGCGTAGATGTTCGAACGTCGACACTTCAGAGGCTCAACTATGTGACTGAATGCCTCATCCGATTGATTAGGTTGGTCACGTGGTCTCTAACGCCATCTATCCCGTGATCATGGTTTTCATATACTATGCTGGGTCTTATCCCTGTTTTCAACGTGAACTCTGGATTGAATTATGGATTCTGCCTGCAAGATAAGTGAAGTTTTGCAGCCCAAACGTAACCTTATCCCAGAAATAAAGCGTACAGGTAAACCACGTTGTTCATTTAAATGATTTCAAACTGTGCACCACTTATAGGGCTCACTATAAACAGCGAATAATGTTCGTAAAGGTGAATAAAATTTAAAGCCATTTTGGAAGAAACAGTAAAACGAAGTTTCAACAGGGAATGTTTGAAGAACGTCCAAAGTTTCATTATGGATGTGGAATTTTGTTGCACTAAGAGATAAAAAAGCGGTGACAAGCAGTCACTCTCGTTTTTGGGCAGTCACACTACTGAACAAATGTATAAGTAGGCAAATTACAAACCTTTATCACGTGTCACAGATTATAAAGATCCATTGTAGGGCAACTTTGAAGAATATGGTGATCACACAATGTAGACTACCGGAGAAGACCAAGAAATGATATTTGGAGCGAGAATTTTACTAATTCCGATTCATGTCACGAAAAACACGGAATTTGTGGCTTGCAGAATCCCTCCTGTTAGGGCATTCTAGCGTTATTCAAATCCGCAAACCAAGTTAATCGGAAATCTCCAATTATGCTGCTAATATGATTTTTGTATTGGGGATGGAAAACCGTAAACTTGTTGTCGATAGCTTTTACAGATAAGGTTCTCGTGTTATGAATTCAAGATGTTTTGGTAGCGTTTCAAATTGTCTCATACCCGTTTTAAGGCACCTTAATATCATAGGGAGTTGTTTCAGCATCATTGATGGTTATCCCGTGATCAAAACCAAACCAAGTCAAGTCAAAATTACTTTATCCATCCTAATGGATGAATTTCCTGCTCAGTACATCCCAGGGGCATTTGTCATCACATACAGTTACAGAGGAAAAGTAAAATGCAGTGTCCGTATACCATACGGAAAACGTCAGTGTTGTTAGGCCTGCCAACCCCCATACCGCTGTTTGAATGATAAACATTCAGTACTAAAGTTTTTCCAACCTCTTCTTGAAGGTAAGTGTGGACGTTGTTATGACCCGTATCAGTCACATGCTTCAAATCATATGAATTCTCGGCCGTTTATCTTTCCCTGTACGTGTGCATATTTGACCCTCTCTCTCTGAACACCTACATTGTGGCATGGTCCACAGACATCAATGAAACATGCTCGATCGATAAGCGCGTCGTTGATATCCAGATTCACACTCATGTATTGTGTGTGGTACTTGCAAACTATGTAGGTCCTCTGATACCAATAAACAACAACCAGTAAAAGCTTACCTTTCTGGTACCAAACAATCAAAACGATCATTTTGCCCACATATCCGGAACGAAAGAAAATATTTCTCTTAAATCAAATGCAGGCGGATTCAGTCAAATGTGCCTTCCGATATCAAAAGTACGGGCGTTCGTAATTAATTTAGAAGAAGCAGCCGAATTGAAGGGGACCTCGGCCTCAGTGAACGTTTCTCATTGGATTATAAAGGGTTTATGTAGAACCCACGACCCCACATTTAAACTTGATTGTGGTCGTTGGATTATTGATATATATTGTCTTGATTCGCTGTCTTACCCGACCTATCGAGGTCTAAAGTTCACTCGATTAACAGCCAACGACAGAGCGTTCCCTGGTGGAGGGAAGGGTAACAACCAGACCCCGCCCTCATTGCTACCAAAGTCTCCAATATCGCTTGGTACTTCGCTCAAAAAGTAAAATGCAAGAAATTTTATTTACCCCACCCTATTTTTCGGACATTTATCGATATTCAAATCACCTAGGTTGATCAAATTTGGTGTGGTGATGATGTTTGCTTAAAACAACAAAGCTGTATCACTGCTGAATAGGAGGATATTCTGAATTACCTCACTCACTCCAAAGTGTTTTCCAAAATCGATTTGAGAAATATATATCTACACATCACTCTGGAAGAAGTGTTGATGCCAATAACCACCGTGGATGTACCATTTGGACGTGGTGCATACAGACTTCTTCCCTTTGACATCAGCAACTTATCTATGATCTCCCAGCAAGTGATGAATAGCTCAGAGGAGATATTGAAGTGGTTGAATTTTGGTCTCATTGTGCATGCTCCAGACCACACATGATATTCATCTATTGAAGCAGTTCGGAATAAATTACGACTAAGATATCACCAATAATCCAGATAAATTTTCCTGCTCTATCGCCAGTTTTGAATGTCCAGTTATTTAGGCGATAGTAACGGATTAAGCCAACTGATAAATGGTTGTCTCCTCTGGTAGAATTGCCATTATCCACGATTTTATCACAGTTATACCACCTCCTGCCCCCGCCCCCAGTACTATTCTCGCTTCTTTCCAACGTTTTCTAGTCATTTGGTCAGTTTAACTAGATGTGCTAAAAAATAAAAGGTTGATTTGGTAGATGTAGTCCCTTGGATGTCCGGTCGTTATGAGCACGCATCATTTCCTGAAATGACTGTTATGAACGACACTAACGTGCTACACGTGAGTTTTTTGCGGACTGTCGTCACTGCGACATTTACGTTTGTGCGAATAAGGCTGTCACTGATTTCCCATCGCTGCACTAAATGTTACAATACCCAGGTGACCACAGCATTTCAGGTTTGCGGTTATTCGCCATCGCAACAACACCAAGGTATACGCCTCCTAGTCGCATCACGGAGTCTACCATTCGTGTCCTGGGCCCATTTTATATGCTATCATCATTTCGGCACCAAGATAATAATTGCACTATATCTATACCTTTTACTATTCAAGTTGTCCGAATATTATTTCAAGCTGTCTCGTTGATCTCATCAGTGCTGCCAGGCCAATGTTCAAACATCCTAGCGATGTCGGGACGACCACCATGCAGCGCAGATATCTCAACCTCCTGTCAAAACAGGGGGAAGACGGTTGTGAGACGTTTTGCGGTCCCAATTCCCGTAATATATCTTGGTTGTTTCCCTTGCTAGTACACGTACGCACCGGTGTCCTCCTTCCCTGAAAAGTCATATCTGGCCATGTTTCGCAGACACCAATGGACCATGCGCGATCAACGCTCGAGTCATTCCTTACTCTCATCGCATAAAATTGCAACTGAATTTATGAGCCGCTGGAATAAGACATCAGTCGATCATGCTCTATCGATGTACACGTCATCGTCGAGCAGATTCACATCCAGTTTGTACGACGCTTGCAGATTATATTATCTTTGTGCTACCGCTACAGAGCACTACGACATTTCTACCCTTCAAGTACTGATTAATCAGAATGACCATTTTGACGATATATCCATCATGGAACGAGATACCTCAATCAATCCAACTTCAACTGAAATAGCTTAAAAAGGGCTGTCGAAATATAACACGAACTCTCTGGTAATTACGGAATTTTAGCAGAAATTTCAAGTTCAAAAATTCCGAATGTTGTTCATAAATGCACTTTTTTGAGTGTGGACTACGAATTTGATAATCTTTCTCGTCACAATCATGTAATCCTATTAAAACACGTTCATCACAGATTATAAGCCGGGTGGATTAAA